GAGCTTTTCCATTGTCTCTTTCCACAGATGTAGTCAATTTGATATCTATGTATTCCATCTGGTGAGGTCCATGTGTATAGCTGTCTCTTATGCTGTCTAAAGAAGGTATCTGAAATGAACAAATCACTGAATTTTCAGAAATCTATCATGCAATCTCTAGCATCATTTCTATTACCAAGGCCATATTTTCCAACAACTGATCCTTCCTCTTTGCTCCCAACCTTTGCATTCCAATCACCAGTAGTAATCAATACATCTTGATTGCATGTTTGATCAATTTCAGATTGGAGAAGTTGTAGACTTCTTCTATTTCATCCTCACTGGCTTTAGTGGTTGGTGCATAAATGTGAATAATAGTGGTATTAATTGGACTTCCCTGTAGGTGCATGGATATTATCCTATCACTTACAGCGTTGTACCCTATGACTGATCTGGATATGTTCTTTTTGACAATGAATGCAACACCATTCCTCTTTAATTTGTCATTTCCAGCATAGGAAACCATGTGGCTGTCAGATCCAAAATGGCCAACACCAGTCCATTTCAGTTCACTAATGCCTAAGATACTGATGTTTATGCAGTTTCATTTCATTTTTGACAACTTCCAATTTTCCCAGATTCAGATTTCATACATTCCATGTTCTGATTTTCAATGGATGTTTACAGCTGTTTCTCTTCACTTTGAGTTATGCCCCATCAGCAAATGAAGGTCCCGTGGGCTTTTCTCCCACAGGCTTTCCTCCATTCACATCATCACGGTCAACTGTACTTTCAGGAGGGCAGCTCTTCCCCAGGCACATTTTGAGTGCCTTCCCAGCTGAGGGGCTCATTTTTGGCACTGTATCTGACAGTGTTTCTCTGCTATTCATAAGGTTTTCAGTGACTATGTATTTGGAAGTAGTTTGTCACTCCTTCTATCTAATCTGTCTTTGTCTGGAAGCTCATCTAAAACCTGTCCACCATGGGTGACCCAGCTGGTATTTAAAATACCGGTGGCACAGCTTTCAGAATCACAGCAACTGACAAGCCACCACAGTACGACAAACTGACAGTCAAGGAGGACATTATGCTGAGTGAAATTAGTCAATCACAAAAGGATGACTACTGTATGATACCAATATTGTTAGAAAAAAAGAGAGATTTTCTTGGTAAAAGAAATAATCTATGATGGTTACGAGAGTGAGGGGTAGGAAGAGGAGGGAACAATATTAATGAGCTAGGGGCTAGACACATTAACATACGTGACAGGGCAGACAATATAAAACAAGAGGGAGGATAGCAGAGGAAAGATGAAGGAGGCAGGAGACACAGGAAGGACTGCAATAGGGAACAGAAGTAAATACTGTAAACTATTATTACATAGAGGGGACAGCAACAATGTAATGAATCAAAGTACCTGATTCATTGGATGTAAAACTGATGATCTGCTCTGTCAACCTTAATTCACAATAAAAAGTTTAAAACAGTAAGTTTTTTAAAAAAAAGACTAACCTACTGGTCTGACAGAGACTGGAGGAACCCCCAAGAATATTACAATATATGCCCAATTAATCTTCTAACTTGAAAGTGAAGTCAATGTTGGGGACCACCTTTCAAGCAAATAATAATTGGCCTATAAACTAAACAACAATGGGAAGGAATGTACTCCTTAGAACGATCAACTATAAGAAACCAAAAGGGCAGTATCTCCCCCAAAGCAAAGAAAGAAGGCAGGAAGAGTAAGAGGAACCAGACAAGTGGAAAAGAAGAACTCCCAGTGGAAATGGAGAGAGTGTTGATGCACTGCAGACATCTCCACCAATGTCACCGAACAATCTGTATATAAACCACTGAATGGAAAACGAATTTGCTATGTAAAGTTTTTCTTAAAGCACAGAATGTTCAAAACAAAAAGAAGAGCATAATGTTCATGGCAGACAATCTTTATTAAATAAGCTACTTGCCAGCCCCTCCTAGGAAACCCTATACAGGGTCGCTATGAGTTGTTACCAACTTGCTGTTTAATATGACACTATGAAAATAAAATTCTCTCCTAATGATGACTTAAGCCTTGCTACTCGGTGGGAGAATTCAGCAAAACCTGTAGGATTTTATTTGGAATTGACGTTCTCTACTGTAATTTTGTTCCTATATATATTTTTAATTCTTTGTGTTTCACTGGAAAGGAAAATGATGATCAGTTTTAAACATTAAAATTGTACATGTTGCTTTGTTACAATAAAACTAAATGGGTACATGCACACACAAAAGAATTTATTATGTCTGTGAGAGAAAACCCAGAGAAGCAAGTTTGCTAGGAAATAGTTTAGAAAAAAATTGTAATACAATGGTTACCTGGGTTTCCATTTGAATCTTTTATATTTTTGATTTCTTCTTCCAGCTACCTAAATTTTGAGTCTACAAAAGAGTAGTCAAACCCTATATTCCATATAGTCATTTCTAATGACAGCATAATAAAATTACATAGTCCCTAAGGTAGCTTGTTCCTCATCCAATCACCTTTTCTTCTTTCTCTGCTAATAATTTGTGTCATCTACTGATAAAGACATGAGGTGTGATCATTTCTAGAAATATTTGCTTGCAGGGGGACTCATAAAAATGGTACATTCCA